GCAAATACTTTCGATACATGACACATGAACTGGATGTGTTTACCCTTCTCCAATCCCATCCATCGTCGTGCAGAATTGAGTGCACTACTCCACCACCCACCAGCAGCGCTTGATAGAGGCAGCTTAGATGGGGAAACCCCGGCTGAAAGCTACATGACAAGAAGCATGAATCGTTATCAAAATTTTAGTCATGAATTTTCACAGCATTCCAATCGGTTTGTTTTTGCAGATTTGAGCTGTGGAGTGCAGCAGCCATCCATGTTGCGTTGTTGGCGCTAGTCAGAGGGTGGAAGGTGAAGGCAAAATAGATCTGAATGTGGATGCTTTTTCGATGGCCTGAATTGAATAGTGTTGTGTAGAACTTCGAGCAATTTGTCATAAATGAGTTCCAAGGAATGGTGACCGCTTAGGAAAAAATATATTTATTTTTAGATCGCTTGGTGTTGCTCGATTCCTTAATTGGGATCGTTCTTGTTGGAATTTTTCCTTTGGAACACGGCTAAAACATAAATTTACATGTACTGATCAGTGTCTGTCTCCCAGGGAAGTGGTTTTCCCCGGATGCTACACGTAAGACGACAGACGACTAATTACAAGGATAGGGGAAATGAATGTTATGTCGGCCTAAATTAACCTAATTTGGGCCCATACATAAATTCAGCAATCGACTAAATTTTCAATAGCGACCAAAAATATCCATAAGTACCGTCCCAATGACGCGTTCATCTAGATAAAATTGATAAATAGTAGATTTTTAGCGATGGGCCCAATCTTAGATCCATAGGCCAACATTAGAGCCATTTCCCCTATATATTATTAGTAAAGCCTAAATGTATGTACCTCTTATGTAATCATCGCTGATCAACCAATGATTTTTGTGATGTTTTTGAATTCTAGCGATTTGATCTGCTTATAACTTTTCAGAAATGAATTTTACTGATTATTTGAACTAACTCTTTGATTATTTTGGTGCCATAATAATTGTTGACATGCTAAATAGTGTTTCGTAAATGACAAATCATCAATCAATTTCCCATGCATTTTTCTATGGCGTCCTTATATTTATTTCCGAAGGAGAAAATCACATTTCCATTTATTTCTCCTACGTACATGATACAATAAGTTATTTCTTAGGCTATTGTAGCATAATAATGTGGTTTCCAAACACACATGATATAGAATTCCCTTTGATTCTTAGATTTAGGTGGAGTCATGGTTTTTTTGGGCTACAAAATGGTGAGTTGACAACCAGGAAGGAATACCTGGCTCTGGTCCTCACAAGGTCCTACTTCACGCCTCCCCGAGTCATATGATAACAAAAGACTACCAGCTGAAACATGGACACTTGCGCGGTAACCATAGTACGGTGATATAGAATTCCTCTGATTCTTCAATGTGAGAGGAGCCATGGTTTTTAAAGTGTCCTTATACAAATTTCTACTAGTGTAGATGAAGACTAATTATCTATTTTTTTCCTTGTTTCTCATCTTCTCGTGCATTTTTCTTGATATTGATTTCACATACAGTAGAAGTAACCTATTATGTCCCGTAACGTGGGTAGATCACCTTTTTGTGGTACGTTACGGGATGTAAGATCTACCGCCGATTACTAGTCCAGAATACTTCAAACTAGGGGAACAGGATCTTTCAGTAATCAAATGAACACATCTTAGTCCTGGTTTTTTATGCCGTCTTGATAGTGACAAGACTCGGCTGTTCACCGAGGATGATGGTGAATGAGATAATGACCAGCTGGTAAGTTGCAGTATTCCGAAAAGTTGTTCAGATAGTCAGGATGACGTCCTCATTGTAACGCTGGGTCCCACCCTGCAGAGGACGAAACTGAGAGCGCAAGCGTCAGTCTCCTCAGTGGTCAGATGGGCTGACTCTGTTGGTTTCCAGCTTTCCGCCGGCAAGAGCGTGCGCTGCCATATATGTACCACCAGGCATCGCAACAACGGACAGCCCATCATGATAAAAAAAAAACAAGCAATACCGACTAAAAACACCGTGAGGGTCTTGGGAGTGCTCCTCGATCGGAATTTATCCTTTGAGCCGCACTTCCAACAAGAAAAGAAGGACTGTCACAGTCGGTCCAACCTGATTAAGACCATCTCCCGCCCCCACCGATCCAACAATCGCGAAATTCGCTTCCGCGTAGCTAGAGCCATCATCGACAGTCGCCTACTGTACGGTGTAGAGATTACATGGCTTGCCGCCGAGAAAGCCGTCCAGATTCTGGAACCGGTGTACAACGGCTACGTTCGGTCTCCTGCCCTCTACCCCGGTCGACGCTGCATGTGTTGAAGCCGGTATCCTACCTTTTCGGCTCGTTTTCACCTCAGCTACTACTACCAAAGCCGCTGCCTTTCTCGCTAAAACGTCGGGAAACAACAGGAGCGTTCTCCTCGACGAGGCGAACCGACTCCTCCGCACGGCCGCCGACGTAGATCTCCCTCCAGTGGCCAGGGTCCACTGGCACGGAGACAAAAGTTGGCAATCGCACAAGATCAAAATTGGCAGCCGAATCAAGGACCGCTTCAGGGCAGGAGACAACTCGCTGGCTTTACGCCGGACAGTTGTCGAAACTATCGAGGCGCACTACCAAGGTTATGAAGTTAGGTACACCGACGGCTCTCTCTCCAGGAGCGGAGTGGGAATGTGGTCCGGAGATGGTCTGCTTGTGAGCAGATCGTTCTCGACCCATTGCTCGGTGTTTGCAGCTGAGGCAGCGGCCATTCTCCACGCGGCTATGTTACCGGCCAACGGGCCGATATTAGACGTAACTGATTCACACAGCGTGATATTGGCCCTAACAACAAAAACACCGAAGCATCCGTGGATCCAAGGAACGGTAAAGCACGCGCCGCCCAACACAGTATTCATGCGGGTACCCGGTCACTGCGGGATCCAAGGGAACCTAATATCAGACCACCTCGCCGGCTCAGGCCACACCGGACCCAGGTTAGGCCGTCCCTTATTTTCTGAAATTCGACCAATTTGTAAATTCAACTAAATTCAAATGTTCGTTTTGGTTAGAAAACAAACATATAAAAATTTGAAGTTCGTACGTTAACGTTTAGAGGTCGTTCATCGGCTCTAAATTAATGGTAGTGTAGGAGACCCCCATGCCACGGCAAGCAAGCTTCCGTAGTGTATGCGTTATAGGTAAAAATACATCGTTTGTGGGTATTCCTCAAACAGATCATGGAACGTCAGATTGATCTCATTTGGTGTAAGCAACTTTTTCAAAACATAGTGTATATGCATAATAATTATTTTTGTGAAGTTTTTAAGCGGTATGTTTTCCATTTAATGTGTTTTGGTTCAATATAGTCGTTTAATTGGTGGACACTTTTTAAAAAAGTGGATTAAAGCAAAGTAATGAAGGCAATCCAATTAATTTGTTTAACTTATTAACAAAGTTTTGTAGTGTTGTCTTTTGTTTATTTGGAAGTTTCTTCCGCAAATCTTCCACATTTAACAGCAGATCCTGGAAGGCTTTTTCATTTTTTGTCACATTTCTGTTATAATCCTGCATCAATTTGATTGCTCTCTCTGCGTGGTCGTTTACCACTTGAAGCCGAGTAACGATTTTTTCTCCTTTTTGGTATTTGGTATTTTATTAGTACTCCATTCACTTACTGGTTCATCGAAGAAGCTGATATCAATCCCCAATACTCTAAAAAATTCCACAGTATTTGTTCAAAATCATTAAGATAATTAAATTCCATGAACTTCAATATTCACCATAAAAACGCGCACTGCACCCGTTGTGCGCACGAATAGCACAGACGGGTGAAAACAGCAACGCACTTGCGCTGTCAAACCAACGCAACATAAAACATGTAAATAGTAGCATAGGATGTACAGAAAATGTAAATAAAAAATCAGTTGAAATCAGCATCCCGTCGCGTTTAGATGAAAGTTGCTCTACTTCCGTGTGTGGTGTCCGAAGTGCCTCGGTCGCGAAACCTTTTACACAAGTGAATCCGTTTTTTGACGAGCTAATTAATTGCGGTGGAAGGTGAAAGAACCACAGCCAGGGAACTACTTCCACCGTCGTTTTTGTTGAAAAGAAAAGTGGTTAAGTGCTAAACATAATTTGGTCCTTCGAGCCGGATATCAGTTTTGAAAAGTTTGGGAGAACCAGCCGACCGATGGAGCTCGATATTGGTTTATCTGCTTTCAATCCGCCTCGATCCTTGTACGCTCCGGGAATGGGAAAATCAATGTGCACAACTCGACACTGACAATATAGCTTCAGTTCTGGGAGGAACTGCGTCGAACTCAAGCGCCATTGCCGATGAATCGAATTCCATGCCATCCTACGTTAAGATGGTCAACTTCCTCCAGAACTATGCTCGAGTGTTGTTTGCAGTGTCCCCAGCTATATCCGCTCCTTCTCGCAACAAGTACAAGTCTCTTTCAAAGTCAGCCGCCTTTCCCGTGACCACGCAGAAGAACGTATGCAGCTCATTACCAGAAAATTCCAGCTCCAGCAAGTCAGAGAAGTCGTGTGAACTATGTGGTCAAGGACATTACCTGTACCACTGTCCGGAGTTCCAGGAACTAGACGCTGTTCAACGGACCAATCTAGTAAGGCAGAAAAACATTTGCATGAACTGTTTGCGTTTCTCTTCCCACTTTGCTCGCACCGGTACTGGCTCCCGATGCCGTGTCTGCTCCAGAAAACACCACACGCTACTTCATACAGATACCAGTGATACCAAGCTCGTTGCCAACAATCCGTCTACTGATCCTACCTGTTGCGTTGCTATCGAGCAAGCTGTTAACTCTACTCAGGCAATTCAGCAGCTCAAGTCTGTTTTGCAAGGTACAATTCAGAAAGCGTCTACCTTTGCTGTTCCCGTGAATAAATTTGGCAATGTTCACGACGCTTCTGGGAATCCACAATATGCTCTGGTCTCGCAATCCCAAGCAGTGATCCCCGGAACCGTCTTCCTTCCTACTGCGCTCGTGAACATTCGCACTAGCAGAGGTCGGACTGTCACCGCACGTTGCCTGTTGGATTGCGCTTCTCAACGCAACTTCATCTCCGTAGCACTGTGTGAAAAGCTTAAACTTCCTCGAACTCGACTGCTGCAGCCGATCACCATCAGTGGAATTGGCAACACTACTACACTTGTGGAACACGAAACCTCCGTTACCATCAACTCCCGGGTGTCGCCATTCTCCCTGAAGAGTTCAATGCTCATACTCCCATCGATTACCATGAAGCTGCCACAGGTCTCCATCAACGTTCGTCAATGGTCAATTCCAAGGGACGTTGACCTCGCAGATCCAACGTTCGCCGTCACCGGTAGCATTGACATGATCCTAGGTGCCGCACACTTCTTCCGTGTTCTCCGTTACGGCCGAATCTCTCTCGGAATCGATCTTCCTCTGCTCCAAAACACAGAATTCGGTTGGGTCATATCAGGAGAATGTACGCTGGAAAACCATGACCACCATGATAAAGGTAGCTGTCAGTTTAGCAATCCCTGCACGATCGACGAGCTGGTTAATCGTTTTTGGCAGTTGGAAGAAGTTCAACAGGCACAAGGCTGGTCTCCATCCGAACGTTTCTGTGAAGAGCATTTTCTCAAAAACACCACTCGAAACTCCGATGGCCGCTACGTTGTCCAACTTCCGAAGCGCGAAGAGCTCTTGCTGCATCTGGACGACAACTGGTACAACGCTACACGACGTTTCTACGCTTTGGAAAGGTCGCTGGCCCGAGATCCAGAGAAGAAGGCAATGTATCAAAAGTTCATCCACGAGTACTTGGCGTTAGGACACATGCGGGAAATCAGTCCCGATGAGCGTAATTTCAAGCATCGTTACTTCCTTCCCCACCATGCAGTTATCAAGATGGACAGCACAACGACCAAGCTTCGAACAGTCTTTGACGCCTCATGTCAATCGAAATCTGGCCTTTCGTTGAACGATGTTCTGCTTGCTGGTCCCACCATTCAAGATACCCTGGTCACGATCGTTATGCGCTTCCGAATATTCGAATTCGTCGCTTCTGCCGATATCGAGAAAATGTACCGGCAGATCCTTGTGTTCTTACTTGACCAACCGCTCACGAGCATTGTCTGGCGCGATCATCCCGATCTTCCGCTGCAGATCTTCCAGCTACTCACTGTCATCTATGGTACCAGCTGTGCTCCATTTCTGGCGATCAGAGTATTAAAGAAGCTTGCTGATGACGAAGAACAGCAATTTCCATTAGCAGCTCCAGTGCTTCGTCGTGACTTCTACGTCAATAATCTACTAACTGGCTCTAACGACGCGGAATCTCTCGCCATTACCTGCAAAGAGCTTATCGCACTGCTTGCTTCTGCAGGACTTCCACTCTGGCAATGGTTTTCTAATAGCCAAACCGTTCTTGATGCCATTCCACAGGAGCTTCGGGAAACTGAAACTTTACTCGACTTGGACCATGAAGCCTCCGTCACAACGTTGGGTTTACGATGGGAGCCTTCTACCGATCTCCTTTCCTTCAAGCAACCGAAGTGGACGGAGTTTGCCACGTTAACGAAACGTGCAATCCTGTCACAAATCAGCAGTTTGTTCGACCCACTAGGTCTCATCGGACCGACCATTTCGAAGGCAAAGATTTCGCTCCAAGGATTATGGAAACTCCAACTCGACTGGGACGCGGCAGTCCCACCAGTATTTGTAAGCAATTGGCAGGAATTCAAGCAAAACCTCACCGTTCTCACTCAACTACGTATTCCTCGACACGTTCTCAGTCCAGGCTACGCAAGGCTGGAAGTTCGCGGCTTCAGCAATGCATCAGAGGCTGCATATGGTGCATGTCTGTACCTCCGGTCGATAACATCTGCTGGATCCTGCACAGTTCGCCTCCTGATGTCAAAATCAAAGGGCACTCCTATAGATACCAAAAGCATTCCTCGACTTGAGTTGTGTGCTGCTCTGCTCCTGTCCAAGCTTCTGGTTCAAGCCATGGACAGCTTCGATATTTCCGCCACGATATATTTGTGGACGGATTCCACCATTGTCTTAAATTGGCTCTCCGCAACACCGTCTACGTGGAAGACGTTTGTGGCCAATCGTATAGCTGAGATTCAGGAGCTCACCATTCATGCTGTCTGGAATCACGTTCCGTCCAAGGACAATCCAGCGGATTTCATCTCTCGGGGCATGAATCTCGACGAACTCGAAAGGAGTTCACTGTGGTGGCACGGACCGCAGTGGCTTGGCACGTTAGCTATACCATGGCCTGCTAAGTACTCTCCAACAAAATCGTTACCGTCGGATGAATCAGAAGCTCGCAAGATCGTCGTACTTCCAGTCGTTGAAGATGAAACGACCAATGATTTAGTGTTCCACTACTCCAGCCTTCGTCCGCTGCTTCGAATAGGCTCTCTCATACGAAGGTTTGCCGAGAATTGTCGGCGTCGCAAGAATCATCAAGATCCTCTTGTGGGGCCGCTCACCGCAACCGAAATCGATCAAACTCTACTCGCCTTTGTGCATCGAGCTCAAGAGCAGCACTTTGAGAAGGAAATCCGTCAATTTTCCACCACTTATCAAGACGATCGCAAGTCCAAGCTCCGATACCTTCATCCACAGCTTGTGGACGACATTATTCGTGTCGGCGGTCGGTTGCACAACGCACAGATCCCGATCGAAGAGAAGTATCCGATCGTCCTCCCGGCCAAGCATCGACTGACCGAAATGATAGCGACCAAAGAGCACCAGAAAACGCTCCACGCTGGCCCTGGATTGTTGCTTTCGTCCTTACGTCAACGATTTTGGCCTCTTGGCGGTCGGAATTTAGTTCGCCAGGTCATCCACCGATGCATGACGTGCGCCCGAGCTAAACCGAAATCTCTCGAACAGCTGATGGGACAACTGCCTCCTGTTCGGGTCAATCAGGTGTACCCATTCCAGAATGTCGGCATAGACCTGGCCGGCCCGATCTACGTGCGCACATCGGTAAGAAACAGACGTACTCCGTTCTTCAAGGCATACATCGTGGTCTACGTGTGTCTCGTAACCAAAGCCGCTCATCTCGATCTCGTGTCTGACCTCACCAGCGAGGCATTCATTGCCAGCCTTCGAAGATTCACCGGTCGTAGAGGAAAGCCTGCACAGGTATATTGCGATAACGCGACAAACTTCGTGGGGGCGAAGAGAGAGCTAGAAGAGCTACGGAAACTGTTCATGTCCCAGCAGCACAAGGAGTCGGTAGCGCGAGAGTGTTCAGAAAATGGAATCCAATTCCACTTCATCCCACCACGTTCGCCTTCGTTTGGTGGAATCTGGGAAGCCTGCGTGAAATCAGTCAAGACCCTGCTCCGCAAGATTCTTGGCAATGCACACCTCACTGAGCCTGAACTACAAACTGCTCTAGTGCAGGTGGAGGCAATGCTCAACTCACGCCCTATTACTCCACTACCAGACGATCCTTCCGACGAGTTCGCTCTCACTCCAGGACACTTCCTGATCGGCAGACCACTGAACGCAATGCCCGATCCTGACCAGCAGGACATTCCCGAGACCCGCTTGACCCGGTGGAGACGAGTTCAGCAGCTCACCCAACATTTCTGGTCCCGTTGGCACAAGGAGTATCTGGCTACACTGCAAAATCGCTACCGCTGGAATCAAGTTCTCGGCAACCTCGCCGTCGGTTCCATCGTCGCCCTCAAGGACGAGAATGTTCCGCCACAAAAATGGCCTCTCGGGCGCGTGATCAGCATCCACCCTGGTACCGACGGACGAGTGCGGGTCGCCACAGTAAAGATCAGTTCAGGAACAACCAAGCGTGCCATCTCAAAGCTGTGCCTACTTCCAGTCGAGATTGATCCTGCCATCGTAACTTCGAATGTGGTTCAAAACATCAGTAATTCTGTTAAATCATCGTTGAAAGAAGACCTTCGCTTGAGGAACCAAGCCGCTGGACCAGCTCCCGGCCCTTGCTCAGGGAACAGAGCCGCCGGACGAGTTCCCGGCCCCTACTCGGGGAAATGAGTCGCCAGACGAGATCCTGGCCCATGCTCGGGGGAATCGAGCGGTTCCTGATACAACTGTAAAGAGTCAAGCTCGCCATGTGGGTTCGGAGAACCCCATGGCTCGGACTTGACACTAGTTAAGTACCACCTCTTTCATTTCCTCCAACAATTCGCATACAGATGTCCCTTCTTTACAGCACATCATTCGATGCCAAATTGTTTGTCGCCTTCCGCCAATGAATTAGAAGCTGGAAGGAAGCCTGTTGCGACGAACTGCTTAAACAAATCACCCTCCAGAATCTGTGATTCACCTTCATTGAAGAAGAGTCGTAGAAGAATTTTCCTTGCCGGTGAACGATGAATTCCCGAAATTTCATGGCGGCCGGAATGTTCAAAATCATTAAGATAATTAAATTCCATGAACTTCAATATTCACCATAAAAACGCGCACTGCACCCGTTGTGCGCACGAATAGCACAGACGGGTGAAAACAGCAACGCACTTGCGCTGTCAAACATCTTTAGACTGTAGATAGCCCGTGCCATCCAGCGCGCAGTATGCACAGGTCCCGGTGCACGGAAATAAATTCCTTTTGGAGGAACTTTCCCCGAACAAATGATTGCAAGTTCCAGAAACTAACGGTAATCATCCCTCGACTGTCCAAGCTACGAAATATCATTGCAATAATAACATATCATATGAGTTAAGATAAAATACTCACAATGATGTTATGTTCCGCGTAGCTTGCAATTTGAGTTATGCGATTTCTCAAAAAAATGTGGTCATTCGGATGTCAGCGGAACTTCGTATTTTTCCTTATCTTTCGACTTCCAGTGGCTTTGAAATTGCTTGAATATAATAATGTCGGGTCCGCTTGTCGGCCCCATGATGATATGGAAGACACTTTCTAGGGCTAGCTCTAAAATATGGTGCCTACAGGGTAGCCATAGAAGCTTCGCCTCAAGTTGGCGCTCTATCCACGAAGTTGCACCGTGTTTCCAGCCTTTAATTAGTTGAAAATCATTAAGTAGCAAAAAAGGAAAGCAACGACTTAAGCAACTGACCTACTGTGGAAATAAAGTTAAAAAGATATCATAAATACCTGTATTGACACTGGTGGTGTCAAAGGACATAGCTTTAATTCGATCAGTTAAGTTCCAAGCTTTAATCAATTCCACAACAGCTTCTCCGATGACTTTTCCTGTCCCTCTTTCAACAAATGGAACGCCAAGAAGCTGTGTCGTGCTTTTTCCTGTCACAAGTACTGCTTGGCGATCGATCAGTTCCTTCCCTATCAAAGAACTCACCACTTTATCGTCCCAGTGAACTGTAAGGATTCCATCGGGACTGAAATTCTCCATCAATTTCAAGGACGATTCAGGCCGGTATTTCTCACGCAATCGATGTATGGTGGAACGGTTGATGTTAGTATTCCCTAGATCAACCCCAAACGATTTTGCAGCTGCTGCCAGAATAACTGTGGTAGAATCTGTGCTGACTTTTGCTGCATCAAGAGCCTGGGATAATTCTGGTGTTACAACATTTTGAGTTCCTCGTCGTGAGTGATGCTCCACACGCTTGTCCGCATCGTCAGGCTCATCATCGGATAGGTCGAGTTCTACGAAGTCGGCTATAATGAAATAAATTTACTGCACTGTAATCAAGCAAAGAAATTGAATATTACCAGTTGTCAACTTATTTTCACTTTTTCTTCGACGTTCTGCCAAGATCTTTTGCCTCTCTTCTTTACGCTTCACTGTTGCCACCTTCTTCTGCATTTTGGTAGCAAGAACCCCATCGATGCCAGCAATGGAACCTACGCGTCGTTGGTCATCGTTCTGATCCTTCAGAAATGCTATGTCTTCGAGAATCGCCTGTCTTACACCAGGATCCGTTTCTTGCTGGGCGCTTCGTTCCATTTCCGGTATTGCCATGCTCTTTGCAATGTCAAACAAGTCGTCAAGCTTGGTTTTAAAATGGAATTTGCGTTTTATTTGTGCTTTGCTATTTGCCCGTTTCATATTTTTGCAAATTGCAAACAACTCGGTATGCAGTGTTTCAATTTTCTTAATACAGTGAATTTCCTGAACTACCGGTATTTATTATTTCTGTCAGAAGCACAACACCTGTTTAGCGGTATTTCTAGCACTCAATCTGACCGGAAGCCTTGCGGATCGATGTTGGTAGTAAAAGGTAGCTAGCACTTGCCGTATTGTCGGAAGACGAGCTCCAGTGATAACTTTACATTCAGGTCCCACAAATTTAACGAGAGTTTCACTTCTAAGTTTATGAGCCATTTTGAGGATACTTTTCACTGCTTGAAACGACGCATCTAATAGCGAATTCGTTTATTATCGGGGTTGGAACCAGTTCCAACCCAGTGCGAAACCGAACTTTTTGTCAGTGCGAACCTCAACCTGAGCTGGGTTTTAAAAACAAACGATCAAACTGACGTTTGTCAGAAAACAAGCAGACCCAATCTTGATACCCGATCCAGGTTGGAACTGAATAATAAACGAATTCGCTATAAATGCACTGAAATAAGGCACAAACTGGATACTGTCGTAACCGGACAGAGGTTTCCAGCCTTTGTCACGGCTACACGAAAGCAATTGGTTTCTCGCTACCTGAATTGTTGCCGCTGCTACTGTTAGTTCTACTGCTGTTACTGCTGCTAGTACGTCTGCTTCATAGTTCGTTACAAGAATGACTTCATTAGGCATAGGTAAGCTCTATTTATATGTAGTTAAATTTTCACTTGTTTCCAAAGCACTGTTAGTTGCCATGGAATTTCCTCTAACAAACCAAGAAGATTTCGGATCCAATGCCTACTTCCGCAACGTCTTCTTTCATTTTCTTTTTCACATTTTACGCATGGCAGCGTTGTCCTATTTTTGAAGAGAGAGAGAGAGAGAGAGATAGATCTTTCACTTACACTCTTACATTTTCTTGGAAGAAGAGTGACTATGTAACATACTGTTTTATGTTGACGTTCAGCATACGTGTGCGAGTATCTTTTCATGGTTTATACCATGGCTTCATGTTGATACCTATGCAGTGTACACCAAGGTAGCGTGGTCGCCGAGGCATGGGTGGTCTCCTACACTAACATTCATTCAGAGTCGATGAGCGACCTCTAAACGTTAACGTACGAACTTCAAATTTTTATATGTTTGTTTTCAAACCAAAACGAACATTTAAAGAGGTTGAATTTACAAATTGGTCGAATTTTTGAAAATAAGTGACGGCCTAACCCAGGTCCACCCGCAATGTACGCTCCAAGATGTCAAAAAGTGGATCAAGCGGACGATTTGGAGAGCCTGGGACACCGAGTGGAGGAACACCAGAACACACCATCTTCGGAAGATCAAGGCGACCACCGGAACCTGGAAGGATCGAACAAACCTACGAGAAGAGCGAGTGGTGTCAAGGCTGCGCACCGGCCACAGCAGAGTCTCCCAAAACTTCGGAGGAACACCGTTCCAGAGGACCTGCGAAACCTGCGGAGTGCCAGCCACCCTGGAGCACATCCTCGTGAACTGCGCGGAGTTGGAAGACCTTCGGGCTGCCTTCGGCTTGGAGCCAATCAGTATTCGGAACCTTTTGGGCGACAGCCGCCGCCCTCATCACCTTCCTAAAGGAGGCGAACCTTTACCACAATATCTGAGTGATCCTTGTTTGTATTTCCGTTTTGTTTGCCCTTTTGGCAGTTTTCTACAACTTTTCATTATTGCAAGATAAATGTACCACAGCCAAGATTGGGAATCTCCTTCTGAGAACCCATTTTTTTCTCCTTTTTTCAATCTTAAGAGATGAACTAGCCATATGGCTAAAAATCTCTAAAATATAGAAAAAAAAAAGATAGTCAAAACATTTCAATTGCTGAGAAAATTAGCTCAAAATACAGTTCTGTAGATTAGTTAATACTGTTCGGAATTCTGCGGGTATGAGTGTACATGTGAAATTTTAAAATTTTGTGATCCTGCATATCTGGGAAATTGCCGTGTCATTATTGTTTGTTAATTTTATTATATAATTAATTCAGCCAAAAATAAATCAAAATGGTGTATTCGGTATTTTTTTTAACAAATCATAACTAGAAAATGTCACTTTCAATTGAAATGACAACTGACACAATGATTTAAGAAAAATATTTGCTTTTGTGTAAAAATATACACGATTTAAAATTTCGAATATGCTCGTTTATGCAATATTTTGTGCGCTGAAGTGGCAATCTCAGCATAACGATGCTACGCACGGGATTGGACGTTTATGTTGACTTGCTCCAAGATTGCACTACAATCAATTCTACCTTACAAAGTGTCCGCGATGAGCAGGGCCCAAGAGATATCTCTTCTAGTTCGGAGAGGCTCCAGATCAAAGGCTTCAAGTTGACTTTTCGTAGATAGATTTTAAAATCATCTGCATACGATAGTCGTGGGCCTTCGATGACCAATTTCGCGTCATAGAAGTAGAGTAAGGAAATCAAAGGTCCCAGGTGACTTCCTTTAGGTATTCCTGACGTAGCTAGATAGATATGGGATCGTTTGTCACCAATGGCAACCATCAGTTGTCGATCAGTGAGATATGAACGAAACCATTGCAATAGATTGCCGCTGACCCCAAGTCTATGCAACTTGGCATTCGTGATGGCATGGCAGCTGACAAGTTGGTATATATGACGTCTGTTTGAGTTCTCTCTACCATGCTTTTTATAAGATACGATATCCTCAGTAGATTTGTTGAAGTAGAACGATCGGAAGTGAAGCCCTGTTGATCAGCACTTAAGTACTGCTTAAAATGAGAGAACAGAGACCCCACACTGTACACATACCCATCCTCTGATCGAATGAAACCTCAGACCATTCAAAACTCTTCTCAAATACGCCTGCTACGCCATCGCAGATAGAGGCTGCTGTTCGTGATACGCCGCTAGACAGCATCGACTTTGGAATTTTCCAGATCAGCGAGGAGCAAGTCGAAAATGCATTACGTAAGCTCAAACATTCCGTGTCACCC